AATGGCTATGGGAAAGTCTTGGGAACAGGACTTGAGAAGAGTTGTAGAAGTATCAATGAGGGAACAGTCTTCAGTCGTCTGAGGACGTCGTCAACGGGGCTTCAGCTTGAATGTCCCAGTAGCATGAGGCGTCCGGTAATCTTGATCTGGTGTTGAGGTCTGATCCGGATGGCAGGTCGCAGACTAATATCGATGTTTGTCGAGGTTGCTGCTCCAGAAGTCTGCGAGTCCAATGTGTCGGCCAATAGGAACAGCATGGTGGCCAATCAGCTGCTTTATCTCCTCAAACTGAGCTGCTGCATGCCATCGTCCTCATACTCTTGCCATTAGATCCATTATCGTCGGCGACGCGCAGGGGCCACATAGGGAACTTGACCAAGAGAGACAAGGATGTGGCGGAGGACAGATGGGAGAACGGGGCGAGGCGGAGGCAAGAGCGGATCTGACAGGGGGGGTTCAAGAGGCAAGGGTTTTGCTGGGTACAGGGGTATGTGTAGAGCAGGAATGCGGGGTTTGGGCGGGGTCAAGGCGCGATTTATGCAAGGGTTCGGGGTTTGAGTTATATTATGTACCTAGGGTATAGGATGAGCACGATCATAGGCGCGAACAAGCTTAATAGCATTCTTAAGGTTAGCAAGAGGTTCCCATGTAGATTCTTCGTCAGGGTATCCTGTCCATTTAACTTTGTATTTTGTGATTGGTTCAGGGTGGTCAGATACCTGAATAGTTCTTTGTCCTATGATGGCTTCGACGATGAATTCAGGGCTTGTGGGTAACATGATTGGTGGAGGTTTAGGATATGGGCGTTCAGCGAATTGGGGTGGGGATTCATGGTATTCTTTTAGGTATTCGACGTGGAAGATCGGGTGAACATGGCTCATGTCAGGGGGGTGTTGGAGTTTGTAGTTGACGAGGGAGGTTTGTTCAATGACGGGGAAGGGTCCGAGCCACTTGTTCGAGAGTTTCTTGGACAAGCCGTGTTTAGGTTCAAAGCGTTTGACGGAGAGCCAGACTGTGTCCCCTACTTCGAATTGCAAGTCACGTCGGTGTTTGTTAGTCTTGTTTGCTTGTTGTTCTTGTGTTATTTCAAGGGCTTCAGTTGCTTCTCTGAGGAGTCGATTCATTGTTGCTACCCATTCATTGAGAGAAGGGCAGGGAGTGGAGGGGTTGAGTTGCGAGGGGAGCAGGAAATCGGAGGGCCGGCGCGAGTGATAGCCAAGGTCAAGGTAAAATGGAGTCATGCCAGTGGAAGGACAGACAATGTTGTTGTAGGCGATCTCGACGGCGGTGAGCAACTGATCCCAGTCGTGTTGATGTGGATGACAATACTTCCGCAGGATTCTTTGGAGAGTATCGTTCATCTTCTCGGTTTGTCCATCGGTCTGTGGGTGGAATGAAGTGTTGTACTTGAGTGCAGCTCCGTAGGCTTTAAAGAGGTGTTTCCAGAATTGTGAAAGGAAGCGAGGGTCACAGTCGCTGATGACGTTTTCGGGGAGGCCGTGATGGCGAGCGACATGGTCGAAGAAGATAATGGCGATGTCCTTGGCATTGTGCGATGTGGTGCAAGGGATGAAGTGGGCGCGTTTAGTCAAGTGGCAAACAATGACATAGATGCAATCATGTCTGCGGTCGGTGTTGGGGAGACTGAAGACGAAGGCCATGGAGATGGACTGCCACCAATGGGTGGGGATCGACAATGATTGTAGCTTGCCGGGCTTGGCGCGGTTCGAGGGGTTGATGGCTTGACACGTGGAGCATGAGCGGGATGTATGCTTTGACGTCGGCTAGTAGGGAAGGCCAATGAAAGTAGTGGGAGATGGTGTCGAATGTTTTCTGGAACCCAAGATGATCCGCAGTCTTGGCATCGTGGTGTTTGACCAAGAGCTGGGTACGGAGACCACGTGCGTCAGGGATGCAAAGTCGGCGAGTGCCTTTGGTATCGATGTTAAGGAGATTGTCATGGAGGGAGTAGTCGGGGACAGGATTGAGGTCACGAAGCTTGTTGTAGATGGTGGCAAAGTCTGGGCGAGAGAGATAGCCTTGGGTGTAACGATGATGAAGAGACGAGAGGAGTTGGATATGTGTCATTGCGGCATAAACTTTGTCAGGGGGTTTGTTATCGGGGAGCCGGGAGAGGGCATCGACAACATGGTTGCTTTTGTCGGGTGTATGGCAGATGGTGAAAGTGAACTGGCGAGAAAGTCTAACCAACGAGCTTGTCATGGGGGTAATGTCTTTCTTTATTAGGATAGAAGAGACGATGGTGTTATCCGTGTGGACGGTGAAATATTGTCCGTCGAGGTATGGGCGCCAGACTTTGAGGGCGTGGATCACAACGAGGAGCTCCTTCTTGTTGGAGGGGTAATTCATTTCTATGGGAAGGAGTTTCTTGTTGGCGAAGGCAATGGGGTATTCGCTCGGTGGAGTGTTAGGGTGGGTAGGGGGCTCCTTGATGGAGGGAGTTTCGGTGGTGTCACAAGGGAAATGTTGGGACAGGACGGCTCCAATGGCGAAGTCGGAGGCGTCAGTGGTGATGTAGAAATGGCGAGTGGGGTCGGCGATCTTGAGGACGGGGGCGGTGGTGATGAGTTGTTTGATGGCATCGAAGGCATTTTGGCGGCGGTCGTTCCAACCGAAAGGTTCGTCCTCGCGGGTCAGTTCATGGAGAGGGTACGAGATGTCGGAGAAGTTGCGGATAAAGGGGCGGTAGTAGTTGGCAAGGCGGAGAAATGATCGGAGTTGGAGTAGGGTCTTGGGAGGTGGATACTCCACGAGGGCGGTGACCTTTGACGGGTCCTTGCGGATACCTTCAGTGGAGACGATGTGGCCAAGGTATTCAACGCTTGAAGCGGCAAAGGTGCATTTGCTGAGCTTGGCGTAGAATTTTTGCTCTCTGAGGATAGAGAGGACTTGGCGGAGATGTTGAAGGTGGGACTCGAAGGTGGGGCTATAGACGAGGATATCATTGAGGTAGACGACGACACAAACTTCGAGGAGGTCGAGAAAAATGTGATTCATTGTAGACCGGAATGTGGCGGGGGCGTTTGTGAGGCCGAAGGGCATCATGAGGAATTCGTAGTGCCCGAATCGGGAACGGAAGACGGTCTTGTGGGTATCCTCCTCACGGATGCGGATCTGGTGGAAGCCACTCCGAAGGTCGATCTTGGTAAAATACTTCGCTCCACGGAGTCGATCGAGAAGCTCGGAGATCCGAGGTAGGGGGTACTTATTCTTGATCGTGATCCGGTTCAAGGCGCGGTAGTCTGTGCACATCCAAAGTTCCGATGTTCCGCCTTTCTTTACGAAAAGGCAGCTTGTGCCGAAGGGGGATGAACTGCTTAATGAATCCTTTCTCAAGGAGTTCATGGAGTTTCCACTTCATTTCTTCGGCTTCTTGAACAGAGAGTTGGTACGGAGGGCGGCAAGGTGGAGAGTGACCGGGTTCCAAATCGATGGTGTGGGATACGCCATGATCCGGAGGTAATCCGACAGGCAAGGACTCAGGGAAGACATCCTTGAACTTGTCGAGGATGGAGGTGAGGGAGGGTTGGAAGGGGGGGCTTGGTCGGGTTTGTCCGTTGAGAGCAAGTCCTCGGGACGCTCGCGATCAAGGACAAGGCAATAGTAGGTGGAGTCAGGGTTCGTGCGCGCCATGTAAAGGGATTGGTTGGGGGTGATGGAGCTTGGGGAGGTGAGATAGGGGAGATAGGGAATGTCGATGGTTGTGTCAGGGGGGTTGGTAAGGCGGAGGAAGTTGGGGTGGAACACATATGGCATGTAGCGGTCCAGCCACGGTGTTCCCAAAACGATATCACACATTAAGTGCATGACATCGAATGAGACCTGACTGCGGAGGGTTCCAACATTCATGGTGGTCTTGGGAACCGTGTGGTCTACTATGACGGCGGTGTCTTTGTCCCCTAAACAAATCGTAATCAGGGAGTCGTATCCGGTAGAGGTAAGACCAGCTTTCCGGACACACACGTTGGTGATGAAGTTTTTGGTGCTCCAATGTCGAGGAGGGCCCGAAACTTAGTCGTAGACGCACCAAGGGTGGCGGTGATGAATTTGAGGTGGAAGCGTGATGAGTTGGCGGTGGAGATAATGGTGTTGAGGCGGCGGTGTTCATTGCCTAATCGAACAAGCCGATCGTGTCAGGCTTGTTCCTCAAGAACATAAGAGAAGGTGACAGAGGATGGATTCGGAAGGAGGGTTGAGGAACAAGTGGTAGTGAGGGGGGCATCAAGCGACGAGGGTTGCGACGCCTAGGTCGTCCGATGGGGGGTGCGGCACCGGAGAGGGGGGAGGCAGACGTATTGTCGATGCGAAATGGGCCACCGGTGGGATGGAGATCGTCACCGATGGGGTGGCCGGCAAACTAGTCGTCGATGCCGGGGCGGAGACCTGGGGACAATGTTCAGGTCGAGGAGGGGCCCGCTCCTGCCGAGGGGGGTGATGTGGAGGTTACGGGCCGGGGAGCCGCAGACTGGCGTGTGAAATGTCTAGCATTTGGGCAGTCTGTTTGCAGGTGGCCTAATTGACGACACCGGAAACATCCACCCTTTGCCTGAAGGTGGGCTCTTTCCTCGGGTGTGAGTTTCTTGAGGCGGCTCGGGAGGGTGGTCGGGGGAGGGCGGCTAGAGCGATCTCTCTTTTCCATTCGCATGAGGTGAATGGCAGAGAGTTCATTGGGGGAGAGCGATGTGGTGTCTAGTGGATCGGAGAGGGTGTCAGGGTCGAGGGCGGTGAACTCGTCCGAGGAGGTGGTGGAGGTGGTGTCCTCGGAGGCGATGTTGTGGAAGGAGGGGCTGATGTGAGTGCGGTCTTGTAGGGGGAGAGGATGCGGTCGAGTTGGAGGGCACAAGTGAGGAGGTTGGCGAGGGTCATGGGGGGCTCATGGACAAGGGCGGCCGCTAGGTCTTTGCCGCATACGTGCTTAACGCGGGAGATGAAGGCGAAGTCGGTGACGACGTCGATGGGCATATGTTGACGAAGCGAGGGGACGTATTGCACAAAACGATCGGTTGGGCCGTTTTGTTGGAGCCGGCAAAATTGGTCGATGTAGTCGTCGACCGTTTTCTGTGGGCGGAAGGTGGAGGTGATGAGGGTGGTCCACTCAAGGAAGGTGTGAGGTCGGAGACTGGCGTGATGGAGATTCGTCATTTCGGTGTACCACCAGCGAGCAGCGTTGTCTAGGAGTCGGCCTCCAGCGATGGGGAGCCAGTGGACAACAGGAATGCTACGGAGGGAGAAGGCTTGTTCAAGTTTGGTGAGAAGGAGGAAAACATCCTCATGGGGTTGGCCTGAGAAGGTGGGAATCTCGTTGGCGCGAAATGATGGGGGGATTTTGCCTTCTCTGGGGTTAGTGGCGGCAAAGGCGTTGAAATCAAGGGTGGGAGAGGAAGAGTCGACCAGGGTCAAATCATTGGCGGGGTTGGTGGGGATGAGAGCATTTGGGGGAAGTAGAGGAAGAACGGGATACATAGCTTGTGGAATGGTTTGGGTATAGTTGGGGATGGTGGAGGTGATAACGGACGAAGTCAAGAGGGGTTTTGACCGGGGGAGGATGGTTGACGACTGTGTGACGGCGGGGGTTTTCGGCTGGGTGACTATGGTGGAGGTAGTGGTGGATGAAGGCGGGGGTGTGGAGGACGTGCTAGCGGAGAGGGCGGTGGATGTGGGCACGGTCGTAGAGGGGGGTGCCATGGTCGTGACCACTGTGATTGTTGGGGTTTGATGCTCGATAGTGGTCACACGGTCGGATAGGCCAGAGATACTGGTTTCAATTTTGTTGATGGACGCGCGGATGTCCGTTTGGAAAGAGGACATCATGCGATTGAGGGTGGCGAGCTCGGTTCTTTGTTCGCCCGTAAGTTCGCGGGCGAGGCTGTCAACAGACTGGGTGTTGATGGCGGACATGTCGATGCCGGATGATTGGGCCATGATGGCGGAAGATGGAGTGGACAAGGTGGCAGCGACGGATGAGGCGTCGGCTGCGGATGAGGCGACGGCTGCGGATGAGGTGGAGGCAGATGCGGCAGCAGCATCAGCGGCGTCGGCGGCTGTGCGCTGAGAGTTCTTGCTTTGGCGTGCCATGCGGAGATTTGGGGGTGGAGGGGGGTGGAGGGGGGTGGGGGTGGGGAGGGTATTCACAGCATCAATTGATTTATTCAAAAAAAAATAAAAGTATTTGCCAGAACAAAAATGGGAATTAATTCAAAATAAATTATTCCGCTTTGGAGTAATTGCAAGGAACATGAATGTGAACGAAGCACAGAAAGCCAGATTGCAAAATCACACTGAAGTCCAAGTAGTCAAAGCAAGAGCAGATAGCACAATGGAACCGAGTAACCATCCATTTGAGAATGATACAGAAGAATCGTGAGTCAATGTCCAAGCCCAATCGGGCAACACCAACAACATAACCCAATGTTGCTCTTTCTCTTGAATGGCACCAGGCGCCCTACCTACTCTACAGCCTATCACTACAACTACAGCATGAAAGCAACCAGACAACTTGACGACCAGCGAGTGATGATGTCAACACCAATGCCGACCTCCTCTCCACCAGGTACGTCTCTCTCTTCACCTTCACTCTCCCTTGTTATCCCACACAGCGCCCTTCACCTCCGAAGAACCACCTTCTAAGAAAGGAGAGGCCGTTAAAACACCCCCAGAGAAAGAATCAATCGTCGCTCAGTATTCATACCTTTTTTAGGAGCCCACAGGCATGGTAGAAAGGGAGGTTGTCCATGCAATAGAGGTGGTCCCAGGTAGTAAGGTGCTTAGAGGACGAATCTATAGGATGTCTCCTGTGGAGTTAGATGAGCTCCGCCACCAGCTCAAGGAGCTCACAGAGAAGGGATGGATTCGGCCTAGTACCTCCCCTTACGGCGCTCCAGTCCTATTCGTACCGAAGAAGGGAGGTACCCTGAGGATGTGCATTGACTATAGGGGTCTCAATGCCATCACTGATAATAACGCAGAGCCCCTAACCCGCATCGACGACCTATTGGATAGAGTGCAGGGATGCCGGTACTTTACTAAGATAAATCTAAAGTCTGGATACCATTAAATTGCCATTAGACATGAGGATCAACACAAAACTGCATTTCAGACCAGGTATGGTCTGTACGAGTTTGTGGTGATGCCCTTTGGCCTATGCAATGCCCCTGATACGTTCCAGCACGCAATGAATAGGATTTTTCATGATTACTTAGATAAGTTTATCGTCGTGTACCTCGACGATATCCTCATCTTTAGTAAGACTGCAGAGGAGCACGCTGAGCACCTGAATATAGTGCTAGCTAGGTCTCCTAAGACAACACCAGTACAAGATTAACTTGGAGAAATGCGAGTTTGGTTGCACCAAGATTTGTACCTGGGTCATGAGATTTCAGCAGATGGGTTGAGGCCAGAAGATGCAAAGGTGGCCAGCATACGTGACTGGCCTAGACCTCAGACTGTTACTAAGGTGAGATTGTCTTTGGGAATGACCGGCTATTATCATCCTTTCATCAAAAACTAGATGGCTTGCTGTTTCTCGAGAAGGCAGGGAATAAAAGACTATGTGTTGCTAATAGTGAGTCTTTACGTAGTTTATTTTTAGGAGAATGTCATGATGCAACCGATCATTTTGGCTATAGGAAGACATCAGCGAAGTTAGTGCAGAGATTCTGGTGGCCCTCTATGATGGAAGATGCGAAATGCTATGTTGAAACCTTCCAAGTTTGTCAAAGGGACAAACCAAGGACTCAGTCCCCGCTTGGGTTGATCAAGCCCTTGCCGATTCCTGAAGGACTAGGCCAAAGTGTGTCCATGGATTTCATGGATGCCCTGGTGACCAGCAGGTCTGGAAAAAGACACATCTTTGTTATAGTGGATCACTTTACTCAGTATGCAAGACTAATCGCTATGCCTGGAACTGACTTTGTCATCAAACTCTTCATGGACAACTGGGTAAGGGATTTCGGTCTACCTACATCTATTGTTAGTGATAGGGATGTAAGATTCACGAGCGAACTGTGGCAGTCTACTGCCGAGCAAATGGGCACAAAGCCCCAAATGACGTCAGGGAATCATCCTGAGTCAAATGGTCAAGCAGAACAGATGAACCGAGTAGTACAGTACCTGCTTAGGCACTATATCAAGCCAAGTCAGGACGACTGGGACGAGAAACTACCTCTCGTTGTCAGCCTGTACAATAACGTTGTGCATAGTACTACAGGCATGACTCCCAACCAATTGCATCTTGGTTGGAAGCCGCGAACTGCCCTTGACTTTCTGCTACCAGAAAGAGAACCCACTGCAGCACCCGGCAGCATAGACTTTGTTGTCAAGTATGAACAGATGCTGCAGCAGGCCGTTGAACATATCATAAAATCTCAGGAAGCAATGATTGCATCTGAGAATAAGCATAGACGGTCTTCTAACTTTCAGGTAGGCGAGAGAGTCTGGGTTAAGTCCGTTGAGCTTGGTCAGGAGTTAGGCATATCCCGCAAGCTAATGCCACCGTACTTTCAGCCCTGGGAGATCTTAGACATTGTAGAAGATCAACCAGACGGTCCTTCATATGCAATCCGCATCCCACCTCACTTGCGTACCTACCCTGTGTTCCATGCCTCTAAGCTAGCACCTTTTGCTGCCACTGAGCAGTTTCCCTCCAGAAGATCAATGTTGCCCCGAACCATGGATTGTGAAGTGGACGTGGACCAGATCGTTGAGCATCGAGTGATGCCTGTTCCTCGACCATCAGGCAGAGGGCGCCCTCCTAAACAGAGAATGCAGTATTGTGTGAGTTTCAGACATCATCTGGATCCTAAGGAGGATCGCTGGTTCACACGAGAAGAACTCATGAGAACAGCACCTCAAGTGATTGCAAGCTACGAAAGAGMACTCAAAGGGAAGATGCCTGCAGAATAAGAGACTTCTCAGAGGACTCACGAAGTAAAGGAGGAGGGAATGTGAGGATCAGGGTCCTCGGTAGGCCTATGGGGCACTGTTTACAGCATTGCCCGCCCTAAGTGAAGGCGGGCCTGACATATCGCAAGAGGCCCTCGACTATCAATTTCGTATTTTGGGGTCCAGGCAGTTGCGACGCGACAGTTGGTTGAGAGAAACTCAGGCTGGGCAACAAAGACATTTCCACGGCCTTCTGGGCTTTTCCAAAGAATGCAGGCCCTGGGCGTGATTTGCAGCCTCATACAGAGACAGTTGGGCGCCCAACCGAACTAGGCCCAGCAGCCCAGTAGCTGCTGTACATTGGCAGCCTCCTGGGGCCTTCCGGAAGCTTCTGGGCCCAGGCCAGTGCAGCCAGGCTGTGCGAGCAGGCCAACTCTTTCCGTAAAGGAAAGAGCTCTCCCCTGGCAGCTGATTTGGTCACTTGCTGGCTAGCGGCAGCGCTGCTGGAGCAATTGCTCGCGGGCTGGCTGCCGGCATTGGAGCAAGAGGCTGCGCACGTGCGGTCGTGTGTGAAAGCAGGGCACTGCTGAGGGCAGCGCCATAGCCAGCCTCCATAGCGGGCTGGGCTTGGATGCACAGTGCGGCGCGGGGGTGGTCTTCGGGTGTAAGAGAGGGCAGGTGTGGGAGTAAGTCAGGGAAGGGCGAAGGATGATGATGATGATGATGTGAGGGCACTTACCTTGTATTGGCGATGGCCTGCATATGGGCGACATCTTCAAGTACTTCGGGTTGCCGCTAATGTCAACAGTTGCATTGTCTATTATTAGGCTGATCGTGGTTGTGTAGGAGTAGGCTGGGCGCTGAGCGCCAAGTAGGAGTGTGAAGGGACTGGACTCTTGTGTTGTTGAAGGAGAGAGAAAGCTCTCCATGACATTGGTCTTCAGTACTACGAACCTCCATTGGTGTATTATTGGTGCATTGCTGCTCTCAGGACACAGTGTGACTATCTGGCTTTTAATGTGATTGTGTGATCTGGAATTGTCATCTCGTTGTTGCTTATTTTCCTTGCAATTTGGTATCGGAGCTGGTTCATATTGCGCTTCATTGGTTCTTCGCAATAGCTATTGGAGCTTCGCATGAGGTGTCGGGCAGTGATAAGGCATTGGCGTTGAACATCAGGCGGCCCAGGATAGTGTGGGCGCGCCAGGGAGCTATGTGGTGACATACGGGGTGTATGCTGGATGATGAGAGCTCGTTGATGTGACATATTAAGCTGAGGTGCAACTGCATTCTGCTGTTGGTTGTGCCGAGGCAAAGACCGGTCATCATAAATGCACATCAGGTTGCCGGTGAGAAATCTGTGGTTGGGGACAGCATTATGAGGAACGTTGCTCTCTTCCTTATCTACCCTCTTCATTGCTTCTTACCGTGAGGAAGTGAGGTCTGTCTTGAGAGTCCTCTCGATGTGAGGTGTCGTGAGCGCTCAACCTTGAGAGTCGACATTCTTCCTGGGCAGCAAGCTGGTGGGAGACGGGCGAAGCCTCTGAAGAGCCCTGGACGAAGCACTCGGGTCACGGCCACCATGCCAACCCGCAGGGACTAGTACACGCATAGCAACTCCTTGGTCCCGCTGCTTGCGCAATAGAGGTCGTGCAGGGCATGCCAGCCCTTTGGGACAGACTCTTTCCAGACCGTCTTTAAATATTTCTAGCTGGGGACTCGGTGTTGAACCTGGCTGTGATCGTCTGCTGCATTAAATAATTCCTGAGGAGATGGGGGCTCTCCTTAAATCCCTCCTGATCAGCAAGATCAAACCGGGTGGAAGGCTTGTTGCATGCGAGGGTAAATAATGTGCAGGGGCTGGCAAGTTCGGCAATGACTTGGGGCGCAGGGGTGGGCCGGATTGCACACCTTTAGACACGCTGCTCAACCAGATGCTCAGGAGGTTGACACAAAGCGACCAATCATAAAGGACACAGGGGGAGGGGGGATTCAGGTAACTGTTCGCAGAGGCAATCAACAGATAATCTGCCATCAAGCATACATCTCCAACAAGAGATATTATTTTTATTTTGATTATCTAGTTGTTACAGACTTGACTAACAACTGACAGACAGCTGCAGACAGATTAGATCTTTGTTGTATTGCAATCTGTTCTAGGGTAATCTAAAAATAGATCTAATATTTCCTGTAGGACCTGACATTAGTTGTAACCACATCATCTTACTGTTTTGTTCAGGCTGATCGAAAACAATTGTGTATCATATGCGGTTGTGTGTCATGCTAAGGTAGGATTTAGTGTGGATTCTAGTTTAGATCACACACACTGTAGCTCATGACTGAAGACAGCAGTGAGGAGGAGGGAAGGCTAGTGCAACCCCTTAGGATCACACGGAGAACCGCTCTTAGTCAACCAATCACTTTCCAGGAGTTAGCTCCTGGGGAGGAAAGGAGACTACGAAGGGAAGCAAGGGAGAGGGTAGCAGCGAGGAGGATTAGGGAAGCAGCAGCCAGCTTAGCGGTTGCGATGGCTACCGCCTCCTCTATGTCACAAACCTCTTTCTTCTTTGTCAGGAGCAGGGCAGGGTGGATCGGGTGCAGTTAGTCAGTCTACTGGTTTTGCAAGTCAGCCAACATAGTCTACTCACACCGGAGGATTTAGAAATCCGACAGGCAGAAGAACTTCAGGATGAGATGCCGTGGGAGTTGGACGAACCAGCAGAGAGGAGAAGAAGAGCAATACTCAGAAAGGCTAGATTAGGAAGTAAAGTGCAGGAGCTAGGCAGATTGGAAATGCTAGGTGAGGCAACATTAGACCCTGTTGTTTGTGTGCTGCGTAATGCTTTACTATCAGTGGCAGAATGTCCAGCAAGAATTGCTGACCGAATTGGTGGCAGGCCAGAAACAAATCCTGGCTGAACTTCGGGCTCCTCGTAGAGTAATGAGGCAGCCGCAGTTTGCTGTAGCTCCCCCTGCGGGTGCGGGTCCTTCATCGATGCCCCAACCCACAGAGCCAGCTTTCTCTCCTATGTTTGGCATGCCCGCTCCAGGTGGTTTAGTAGCAACTAGTGGTCAGGTTCATAGAGTCTCAGCCGTACCATCTACAACAATGGTCACTACAGTCCCACTGTCAAGCCAAGCCCAGGTTAGTGTGCAACAGCCTGTTTCAGTGGCTCCCCCAAGGTACCCTTGCTGAGTCTTGAGCCCTTCTCTAGCGACAGGAAGAAGGATGAGGACTTGGACACCTGGGTAAGAACGGTGCCTACCTATGTGAGGCACAAACTTACCAGGCTAGAGCAGGAAGTTGTAGTGGCTGCCTCCTTTTTAGAGGGGTCAGCAGCCCGCTGGTTGAATGGCCTGGTGCAGCAGCAGGGCTACGGTAAAAACTTTGATGTCTGGGCATAGGCTCAAACATTGGAAGAGTTCGTACGGTCCGTGTACAACAGGTGGCACGATCCGCAAGGGGCTCAGAAGGCCACCGATGCAATCAACAGTCTTTGTTCCCGCAGGTACAAGAATGTTAGAGAGCTAACGGACACCATAGAACGATTACTCGTGGTACCTGGTGTGCGTTTTGACCAGCAGGTTCTCCTGACAGATTACCTAAGGTGGCTACCTGCAAAGGTAAGGACCAAGCTGGTCGTGAGGCCTATGTTGAACAACACAACTTCGCTACTTTTAGTAAGAAAGCTCTGGATATAGAGGCAAAATTGGGATCTGCACATCAGAACCAGGGCGATGGTAGAAAGAAGAGACTCCCCCAAGACTGGAAGAAGAAAGGGCAACTAATGTTCGTCGACCATGAGCACGCTGAGCACCTGAATATAGTGCTAGGTGTCCTAAGACAGCACCAGTACAAGATTAACTTGGAGAAATGCAAGTTTGGTCGCACCAAGATCTTGTACCTGGGTCATGAGATTTCAGCAGATGGGTTGAGGCGAGAAGATGCAAAGGTGGCGAGCATACGTGACTAACCTAGACCTCAGACTGTTACTGAGGTGAGATCGTTTTTGGGAATGGCACGCTATTATCGTCCTTTCATAAAAAACTATAGTACGATATCCTCCCCATTAACAAATCTAACTCGACTTGACACCCCTTGGGAGCGGACTGAAGAGTGTAAGGCAAGTTTCAAGGAATTGAAGTATGCTCTAACACACTATGAAGTTCTCAAGCTTCCAGATCCTGACAAGCCGTTTGTTGTGACCACAGACGCCAGCCAATATGGCATAGGCGCGGTCCTTACGCAACAGGAGGGGCCAAAGTTGAGACCGGTCGAGTACATGAGTAAAAAAATGCCTTCTCAGAAGTTAGCTAAGTCCACATATGAGAGAGAACTCTATGCCCTATACAGAGCGCTAGTTCATTGGAGACACTACCTCCCTGGAAGATTCTTCTATGTGAGGTCTGACCATGAGACTTTGCGCTGGATTAAGACACAGCCTGTACTATCTGATGCACTCAAAAGATGGATTCAAGTGATAAACATCAAGGGTACGTATAACGAAGTGGTTGATGCACTATCACGAAGGGCGGACTATTTGGGTGCGCTAGTCACTTAGTTCGGCATATCTGACGAACTCACTCGATCACTGGTGGAAGCCTATCAGGGAGATCCAGTTATGTCAGAGATCATCAGTAGATTCCAAGCAAAGGACAAAAAGACTTCAGACGAATTTACGACGGTAGATGGCTTGCTGTTTCTCGAGAAGGCAGTGAATAAAAGACTATGTGTTGCTAATGGTGAGTCTTTACGTAGTTTATTTTTAGGAGAATGTCATGATGCAACTGGTCATTTTGGCTATAGGAAGACATCACCGAACTTTGTGCAGAGATTCTGGTGGCCCTCTATGATGGAAGATGCGAAACGCTATGTTGAAACCTGCGAGGTTTGTCAAAGGGACAAATTAAGGACTCAGGCGCCGCTTGGGCTGATCAAGCCCTTGCCGATTCCTGAAGGACCAGGCCAAAGTGTGTCCACGGATTTCATGGATGCCCTGATGACCAGCAGGTCTGGAAAAAGACACATCTTTGTTATAGTGGATCGCTTTACTAAGTATGCAAGACTAATCGCTATGCCTGGAACTGCTAAAACTGACTTTGTCATCAAACTCTTCATGGACAACTGGGTAAGGGATTTCGGTTTACCTACGTCTATTGTTAGTGATAGGGATGTAAGATTCACGAGCGAACCGTGGCAGTCTACTGCTGAACAAATGGGCACAAAACTCCAAATGACTTCAGGGAATCATCCTGAGTCAAATGGTCAAGCGGAACAGATGAATCGAGTCGTACAGTACCTGCTTAGGCACTATATCAAGCCAAGTCAGGACGACTGGGACGAGAAACTACCTCTCGTTGCCAGCCTGTACAATAACGTTGTGCATAGTACTACAGGCATGACTCCCAACCAATTGCATCTTGGTTGGAAGCCGCGAACTGCCCTTGACTTTCTGCTACCAGAAAGAGAACCCACTGCAGCACCCGGCAGCATAGACTTTGTTGTCAAGTATGAACAGATGCTGCAGCAGGCCGTTGAACATATCATAAAATCTCAGGAAGCAATGATTGCATCTGAGAATAAGCATAGACGGTCTTCTAACTTTCAGGTAGGCGAGAGAGTCTGGGTTAAGTCCGTTGAGCTTGGTCAGGAGTTAGGCATATCCCGCAAGCTAATGCCACCGTACTTTCAGCCCTGGGAGATCTTAGACATTGTAGAAGATCAACCAGACGGTCCTTCATATGCAATCCGCATCCCACCTCACTTGCGTACCTACCCTGTGTTCCATGCCTCTAAGCTAGCACCTTTTGCTGCCACTGAGCAGTTTCCCTCCAGAAGATCAATGCTGCCCCCAACCATGGATGGCGAAGTGGACGTGGACCAGATCATTGAGCATCGAGTGATGCCTGTTCCTCGGCCATCGGGCAGAGGGAGCCCTCCGAAGCCGAGAATGCAGTATCGTGTGAGCTTCAGACATCATCTGGATCCTAAGGAGGATCGCTGGTTCACACGAGAAGAACTCATGAGAACGGCACCTCAAGTGATTGCAGGCTACGAAAGAGCACTCAAAGGGAAGATGCCTGCTGAATAAGAGACTTCTCAGAGGACTCACGAAGTAAAGGAGGGAATGTGAGGATCAGGGTCCTTGGTAGGCCTACGGGGCCCTGTTTACGGCATTGCCCGCCCTAAGTGAAGGCGGAGGTGCCTGCCCTAAGTGAAGGCGGGCCTGACATATCGCAAGAGGCGCTCGACTATCAAATTCATATTTTGGGGTCCAGGCAGTTGCGAGGCGCCAGTCGGTTGAGAGAAACTCAGGTCGGGCAACAAAAACATTTCCACGGCCTTCTGGGCTTTTCCAAAGAATGCAGGCCCTGGGCGTGATTCGCAGCCTCATACAGAGACAGTTGGGCACCCAACCGAACGAAGCCCAGCAGCCCAGTAGCTGCTGTACACAGGCAGCCTCCTGGGGACTTCCGGAAGCTTCTGGGCCCAGGCCAGTGCAGCCAGGCTGCGCGAGCAGGCCAGCAGGCCAGCTTTTTCCATAAAGGAAAGAGCTCTCCCCTGGCAGCTTATTCGGTCACTTGCTCGCTGGGGGCAGCGCTGCTGGAGCAATTGCTCACGGGCTGGCTGCCGGCATTGGAGCAAGAGGCTGCGCACGTGCGGTCGTGTGTGGGAGCAGGGCGCTGCTGAGGGCAGCGCCATAGCCAGCCTCCATAGCGGGCTGGGCTTGGATGCACAGTGAGGCGCAGGGGTGGTCTTCGGGTGTAAGAGAGGACAGGCGTGGGAGTAAGTTAGGGAAGGTCGAAGGATGATGATGATGATGATGATGTGAGGGCACTTACCTTGTATTGGCGATGGTCTGCATATGGGCGACATCTTCAAGTACTTCGGGTTGCCGCTGATGTCAAAAGTTGTTATTATTAGGCTGATCGTAGCTGTGTAGGAGTTGGCTGGGCGCTGAGCGCCAAGTAGGAGCGTGAAGGGACTGGACTCTTGTGTTGTTGAAGGAGAGAGAAAGCCCTCCATGACATTGGTCTTCAGTACTATGAACCTCCATTGGTGTATTATTGGTGCATTGCTGCTCTCTGGACACAGTGTGACTATCTGGCTTTTAATGTGATGGTGTGATATGGAATTGTCATCTGGTTGTTGCTTATTTTCCTCGCACATTTGACATCTGATAGACAGCATAATTAGAACTGTTTTTGTTCATTGTGCATTCTGTTCGCGGACTAATCAGACTAAAAATAGTTCCGTTTGTAGGAATCTGACTTACCTGTTGGGTCTGAGTGTACGGTCTCTGACATAGCCACCAATTAATTAGTTTAAATTGGTCTGTGCACTATGCTGCGGTAGGCATCTAGAGTGTCCTAGTGCACACAGTGCATAGTGCTGTAGCTTATGAGTGATAGGGAGATTCCACAACCAAGCGACCGGCTCTTGCGTTCACGTAGACGTCCAATCGCCCACTTGGCTTTAGGACCAAAGGGCGACCGAAATCTGTTCCGCCGACTTAGAGAGAGGCAGCAGCAGCAAAGGAGGGCTAGAGCAGTGGAGGCTAGCAGGGCGCTCGTAAGTGAAGCCGCAACTTTCGAAGCAATGGCTACCTATGTGCAGCAGACTTCTCAGGCAGGTAGTATAGGATCTGTACGGTCAACAGGCTATGCAGGGTCTACGGGCTTTGTGGGGTCAACAGGCTCTATAGAGTCAACGGTGACGCAGGCTTTGAGTCAGTCCATTGGCGTAATGGCAAGCCAACCTCTTGTGATGACTCCCGAGGATATCGCGCCATACAGCGAGCAGTTGATCGCGAGGCACAGCTGCAGCAGGCTTTGGGAAAGATTAAGGCTGAGAAAGAGAGAATGATAAGGAGAAGAGCCAGGATGCAGCGGAGGCAACAGGACGTTAACGAGTTAGAGGAGATGGACCCAGCAAAGATGGAGGATGATATGAGAACCATACGGTCGGTCTTGTTAAGTGTAGTAGAGATGCAAGATCACCAAACGGAGATCTTACAAGACATCCAATAGAGTCTAGCTGTGTTAGTCGGGCGAATGCAGGCGACACCATCACCGTCCGGGCCAGGTGCCTGGCCCGTTGTACATCCTCCTCCTTTTGTCCCACCGGTGACTGGGGTATCCCCATATACAGCTCCTGTATCGGTCCAACCCGTTTCCCTGGGTATGCCCTTGACAGGCGGGTTCTCAGCAGATCCTAGTTTGCAGGTTCCTGGACAACCAGTGTATTCCCAACCTCCATTGCAGATTGCAGTTACAACGCAACCTGCTGTCTCACAGCCTGTACAACTGCAGGGTACACAGCCCCTGCAGTCAGTGCAGCCGCCTGCATCACAGGGTCCACAGCCCTGTGGGATGCAGGGACCGGGACAAACTCAGTGGGTACCAAAGACGGCCATCGCCGCTCCTAAACCCTTCACAGGGGATAAGAGGGGCGAAGACCTCGACTGTTGCATACCGTATAGGCGCAGACCAGAACAAGAACCGACCTTTCAATACAAAGTATAAGATAGCACAGCGGAAGACTTAGATACCAGTGATCCGAACAATCAATGTTGTAATGCAGCCCTGAACATACATCATCATCATCGTTTCAT